ACACACTATGATCACACCTACACACTAGGATCACAGCCACACTCTATGATCACAGCTACACACTAGGATCACAGCCACACACTATGATCACATACACACTATGATCACAGCTACACACTATGATCACAGGCATACTCTATGATCACAGCTACACTATGATCACAGCTACACACTATAATCACAGCCACCTCTATGATCACAGCTACACTATGATCACAGGCATACTCTATGATCACAGCTACACTATGATCACAGCTACAATCACAACCACACTCTATGATCACGCTACACACTATAATCACACCACACTCTATGATCACAGCTACACACTAGGATCACAGCCACACACTATGATCCAGCTACACTATGATCACAGCTACACACTATGATCACAGGCATACTCTATGATCACAGCTGCACACTATGATCACAGCACACAACCACACTATGTCACAGCTACACACTATGATCACAGCTACACACTATAATACAACCACACTCTATTATCACAGCTACACACTATGATCACAGCTACACTATGATCACAGGCATACTCTATGATCACAGCTACACTATAATCACAACCACACTCTTGATCGCCCACACTATGATCACAGCCACACTCTATGATCACAGCTACACACTATGATCACAGCTACACACTATGCTCACAGGCATACTCTATGATCACAGCTACACACTATGATCACAGCCACACACACTAGGATCACAGCTACACACTATGATCACAGCTACACTCTATGATCACAGCCACACACACTAGGATCACAGCTACACTATGACCACACACACACACACCTAGGATCACAGCTACACACTAATCACAGGCACCTCTATGATCACAGCCACACACTAGGATCACAGCTACACACTATGATCACAGCCACACACACTAGGATCACAGCCACACACACTAGGATCACAGCCACACACACAGGATCACAGCTACACACTATGATCACAGCCACACACACTAGGATCACAGCCACACACCTATGATCACAGCCACACACACAAGTCACGGCTACACACTAGATCACAGCCACACACACTAGGATCACAGCCACACACACTAGGATCACAGCTACACACTAGGATCACAGCTACACACTAGGATCACAGCTACACACTAGGATCACAGCTACACACACTATGATCACAGCTACACACTAGGATCACAGCTACACACTAGGATCACAGCTACACACTGATCACAGCCACACACACAAGGATCACAGCTACACACTATGATCACAGCCACACACACTAGGATCACAGCTACACACCTATGATCACAGCCACACACACTAGGATCACAGCTACACTATGATCACAGCCACACACACTAGGATCACAGCCACACACACTAGGATCACAGCCACACACACTAGGATCACAGCTACACACTATGATCACAGCCACACACACCTAGGATCACAGCCACACACTATGATCACAGCCACACACACAGGATCAGCTACACACTATGATCACAGCCACACACACTAGGATCACAGCCACACACCTAGGATCACAGCTACACACTAGGATCACAGCTACACACACTAGGATCACAGCTACACACACTATGATCACAGCTACACACTAGGATCACAGCTACACACTAGGATCACAGCTACACACTATGATCACAGCCACACACACAGGATCACAGCTACACACTATGATCACAGCCACACACACTAGGATCACAGCTACACACTATGATCACAGCCACACACACTAGGATCACAGCTACACACTATGATCACAGCCACACACTAGGATCACAGCTACACACTAGGATCACAGCTACACACACTATGATCACAGCTACACACTAGGATCACAGCTACACACTAGGATCACAGCTACACACTATGATCACAGCCACACACACAAGGATCACAGCTACACACTATGATCACAGCCACACACACTAGGATCACAGCTACACACTAGGATCACAGCTCACACACTATGATCACAGCCCCATGATCAGAGGATAAGGTGATGGTATAAAGTCTTTTTCATAATAGGAAGGTATGTCGTGTTATGCTCTCTCTCTCTCTCTCTCTCTCTCTCTCTCTCTCTCTCTCTCTCTCTCTCCGTTACACATCCTAGAATAACCTGGTAAGGAATCCTATATATAAAAAGAAAAAACATTATCATTTTCCCCCTAGCAGTAAACGCCGTGATCAGAGTCGCCAGATCTCATAACAGTATTTCAATATAGGCCGGAAAAAACTTTAATGACGGCATGAAATTTGCATACTCCCCCCCCTCCCCCAAACAAAATTTCAATTTTTATATACCGATAAACCTGAGGACTTGCCGATGAAACGACCAGCGGCAAAATACATAATAAGGTTCTCTTTGTGTATGTCAGTGTGTGTGTGTGTGTGTGTGTGTGTGTGTGTGTGTGTGTGTGTGTGTGTGTTAGTGTGTGTCAATGTGTGTGTGTGTGTGTGTGTGTGTGTGTTAGTGTGTATGTCAATCTGTGTCTGTGTGTACCTGTATGTCAATGTATGTCAGTGTGTATGTCAATATATGTGTCTGTGTGAATGTTAGCGTGTATCGACGTGTTCAATCATTAACTTTATGGTCTAAGATGACAAACATTCTCTACATTATCGGTCGCCAGAATAAAATCTTAAAGGTGGAGAGCTCTGAACGGGTTAAAGCAGTGTGTGTTAAGTGAGCGTTAGTAGTTAAGGTATAGTGCTTTAAAAACGTATCTAATTAAACTCGAGCGTTAAGTGAACGTATTAAGTTAAGTTAGTTTATCAGTGTTATTTCTTCACTTAAGTGGGGTTAAGTGAACGAAAATTTATCACCTAACTCGCGCTGAGTGAAAGTATTTAGTTAAAAAAGAGTTTCAGTGTATATTTTTCTAAGTAGTGCTGAGTGAACTTATCTAGTTAAAATGAGTCTGCAGTTTTAAACACTAACTGCCGTTAAGTGGAAGTGTTATTTACGGTAGTTTCAATATAATCTGTCCCTAAACTGATCTTAATTACAGTGTTCAAATAATTTCTTAATCTGAAACTGTCTCCTAATTCGTGTCAAATAAACGTATCTAAATAAGGCAAACTTTCCAGGGTATACCTATCTGAACGTGTCTAGTTAAGTGAGAGTCTCGCTGTAAACTTGACACAATTTCTGGGTAAATTTTCACGGAAAAAATTCACCATACAAATATTCAGGAATCCGAACCTAAAATTTTGTAGGACGTAAACATCCAATTCCCAGCGGCAGACACAAACACATAGCTACATTTACAAGTCTACAAAAAAGTACTGCCGCGTTTTGTATTTTTCCGACCTTTATTTTTTCCCCTTCTTCATACAGTCTTCGTACCATAGTTTTCATCAGTTCAAGAAGGCCGCCATCCACGAAGGCTCCAATTTATTCATTACGTTAAAACTGTTCAGCGCGGTAAAACTGAACAATATTTAAGGAAGAGAGAAAAAAGTACAAAATTTCATGCCGTGTGGAGGAGGGTGACCGAGAAATCACCACCAAGAACATCAACATCACATTAACATTTCTTTGATCAAGAGAATTTAAGTATTTAAATATACCATCTGAAGGCCCAATAGCATCAAAGTCCGTCCCACTTTCCTGACATCGTTTAGCGCTGAAAACGACCGGGTAATTAAACCAAATACATTGAAAGGGATTCATTCTGCGTACAACCAGTAACCATAAAGTCCTATATTCATTAGTCAGCGCTCCACTGAAGATAAAAGAAAACAAGAATACGCAGAGAAAATGGGATTCCACGCCAAGCTGAGCCGGTATATTTGACGGTCGTAGGAGCCTTTTGGAAAATGTATTATTGTAGTTTCGGTGTTGCTTCAATAAGGAATCCAATTACGCTCTGTATAGATGAATTGTTGATATGATTCACTCAAGCATCTGCTACGCAGTCTGTCACTCCACATCGTGTATGGCTTTTAAAGAAAAAATAATCTAAAAAGTCTTAAAATCATATTATATGTAACAATTACCCTCAACCTAACTTTACACAGAATAAGTTCACAAATAGTTACAGTAAACACCTTAAAAACAATTCACCCTAATATAAAAGTTAAATAACTAATAATAATAATAATAATAATAATAATAATAATAATAATAATAAAAATAATAATAATAACAGAACCAACCTGAACATTACAGACCAAGACTTTATTTAGGAACGTAATGCTTGGAGATGTCTACCTAGCGTATCCCGTGAGCCTGTTGCAGCTCATCCGAACTCCCGGCAACGCACGTGTACCAGCGCATAGTAACCACCCAAACACAAACGCCTCACACAAAGCAGTTCGGTCCCAACATGCAATATTACAAACTGTGTAATAAAATAAGACCACATAAACTGGTGGTCAAAAATCAACTACATGATAATATAAAGCTATTAAAACTAAACCATATAATATACGAGTGCGTCACACATACAACTCCCGACCAGTGTTTACCTTGTATGTGAAGGGGCTGCGTGAGGTTGCTAGTTTAAGAACTTTACCGTAAAACAATAATCTTTGACTTACTTGTTGAACTGAAATAATTTTTTTGTTTTAGAAGTTGTCTGTTGTAGGAAACCAAGATTTGAGATCTGTGCTTCATAGCCTAGACAGCTGAAGCACCAAAATAAGTGACAACTTAAGTGTGACTGGGCCTCCGTGTACGCTGGCAACTGTGTTATGCAGTGGTTTGTTAGTGAAGAAAAAGTGTGAACAGCAAAACAAAAATAACCAAAGTATACTGTATAATAAACAATAGTGTCTGTCTCCTAACTTAAATTCAGCCAAATTCTCCTCCTTATATTACGAGTCAGGAGAAATTTCAACCTACGTACTTTCGAGAATTCAGTGATAGACCAAATGAAATGCCAGTTATTATGTCCACATACTGTACTGTTCATTTCTTGCTCTCAGGTATTCTCGGAACAGGGAGACTTACGTTATTACCATGGTGTCGGCGTCTACCTTGTGTCTCAGTCGGCAGTTTTGGATCAGTTTAATGTCTGTTTCTGCAATAATGCTCCATCGTATATTGGTTCACTATGTTAACACTATTTGACTCCAACACAAATTCATGATTCTTTTTTCTAGAAACATTGATCATAACAGTTACCTCTCTCGACTGCTCAGATTCAAACCATATACAGTAACTAAAATTTTACCATTTCTAAATCTTGGAACACCCATTGAATTCCCCTAGTACATACTATTAACAAACTGTACTTGAACATTTATATTTTTTTAAGTGGATCTCACAAAACAGCCTCTTACAAATGTCTTTAATTAATGTTCCTCCTCACATAAATCTCCTCAGAAACAAGACATTATCCCTGGATGTAAACAAGGCGGTGAGAAGGAAGGATTCAACCAGCCAGCCAGCCAGCCAGCCAGCCAGCCAGCCAGCCAGCCAGCCAGCCAGTCAGCCAGTTGTAAAGTGGGAGCCTTTAATACACACTTATACACCGCCATACACCTTCATACACTAAGTATCACCATCAACCAGTTATACACACTACCAGCACATAATGACCCATCCATATAATCACAGTACATGGTCATACACCCACTAGTCTATAATACACTCATACACCCACTAGTCTATAATACACTCTCATACACCCCCTCCGTATACCACAATACACTATCAAACACCCACCATAAAACACCCTCAGTATACTCTCATACACACAGCATACACCTACGAGCACATTATACACCTTCATTACAGCATCACCCACAGTATACTACCAAATGCACCATAATACACCCTCGAAACACACACCCTACCCAAACACCCTCAATAGAGCATCACACACCCTCAGTAGAGCATCACACACCCTCAGTAGAGCATCATACACCCTCAGTAGAGCATCATACACCCTCAGTAGAGCATCACACACCCTCAGTAGAGCATCACACACCCTCAGTAGAGCATCATACACCCTCAGTAGAGCATCATACACCCTCAGTAGAGCATCATACACCCTCAGTAGAGCATCATACACCCTCAGTAGAGCATCATACACCCTCAGTAGAGCATCACACACCCTCAGTAGAGCATCATACACCCTCAGTAGAGCATCATACACCCTCAATAGAGCATCATACACCCTCAGTACGCCATCATACATCACACACCTCAGTAGAGCAGTAGAGCATCACACCCTCAGCATCACACACAGTAGAGCATCACACACCAGTAGAGCATCACACAAGTAGAGCATCACACACCCCTCAGAGCATCACACACCCTCAGTAGAGCATCACACACCCTCAGTAGAGCATCACAGCAGTAGAGCATCACACACCCTCAGTAAACACACCCTCAGTAGAGCATCACACACCCTCAGTAGAGCATCATACACCCCTCAGTAGAGCATCACACACCCTCAGTAGAGCATCATACACCCTCAGTAGAGCATCACACACCCTCAGTAGAGCATCACACACCCTCAGTAGAGCATCATACACCCTCAGTAGAGCATCATACACCCTCAGTAGAGCATCATACACCCTCAGTAGAGCATCATACACCCTCAGTAGAGCATCATACACCCTCAGTAGAGCATCATACACCCTCAGGAGAGCATCATACACCCTCAGGAGAGCATCATACACCCTCAGTAGAGCATCATACACCCTCAGTAGAGCATCATACACCCTCAGGAGAGCATCATACACCCTCAGGAGAGCATCATACACCCTCAGGAGAGCATCATACACCCTCAGTAGAGCATCATACACCCTAATACACCCAGGAAACACCCACGAGCACATAATAGGGGCCAGAAAAGAGGTCACCCCATTTACTTTTGTGTGAGGGCTGAAGAGTGGAAAGTTTGGAGCGAAGTTTATTTAGCGTAAAGAAAGTGGTAGAGGGATGTGAGGCGACCAAGGCTGCGTTCTCCGACAGCGTCTCTGAATATTAAGCGAGAGTTGGTACCTCTCCCTGGGTGTAGAGTGGAGGTGTATTTAACGAGTGTCTGTGGGTGTATTTATTTATTTATTTGTTTATTTGTATAACATTTCACCATTTATCACCATACTAGCCGTTCGGGAGGTTAGTCTGTTATTATCTTTACTGTTCAATGTTAATACAGGAAGAAGTATGTACAGTATGTTTGAGTTAATACCTTGTTGTATGCTAATATGTGTGTAAGTGCGTGTACAGTGTATGTGTATGAATGTGTCTATGCCTACGTGTATACTAAGAGTGTGTATTTTGCACAAGAATACCTGCACTGTACATGAGTGGATATACTGTACACTGTCAGAGAAAAACATCCTCTCTCTATCTCTCTCTCTCTCTCTCCCTCAATCCCCTTATCTTTTTCCCTTGCTCCCACTCTCCTCCATTCACTCCTTTCCGCACACACACACACACACACACACACACACACACACACACACACACACACACCACGCCACAGGAGCCATTAAGAGGAGAGCCACAATACTCTACGTACCTCCTGGCTCTCCGGTAATGGTGCCAACAAGGCCGGGAGGGTGCCACAAGGTGCTGATAGTAAACACCGTCACCTTATCAGCAATTATATCCCTCCCTCCCCCTCCCTCCCAGCCACCGTCTCCCGGCTTGTGTGTCATTATGTAAAATATTAAACCACTATAGTTTTATTTTGCGATCATTGACTCGTGGTTTATATAATTTATGTTAAGTATAATAAAGGAAATTTATTTTTATCTAATGTATTATTTCTTTCATAAATGCTATTATGAGAAAACAGTTTATCTTTAATATTGATTTTTTAGAGATAATATATGACAAAAATAAATCATTGCAGGTAGTTAAAATTTTAAGAATATATTACGAGGAAAAATATTCGTATAAAGCATAAAAATAAACTTCACATTTAATAATAATAAAAAAATCATTAGACCAATAAGAAAGATAAGTTAATTTATTTTACTTTCTCGTTAATGGATTATGAAGGAAAATAATATAAGTTAGTTTAAAAGAGAGAATGATAACCTGCGGCCCGAGCTCACACGTCATGTGGTCGGCCAAACGATGTGAAGATTACAGGAGAGGTGGCCAGCCAGCGGCTCTACTAAAACGTGTTCAGTGGAGCTTGCACCCTATACACACGTACAAACGAAGCTAATTAGCCTTTACTTGGTTGGTATGTGGCCATTTGATTGGTATGTTATGTGGTTGTTATGTGTTTGTGGTTGGTATGTGGTTATGTGGTTAGTATACTATGTGGTTGGTATGTGTTTGTGGTTGGTATGTGGTCACTTGGTATGTTTTATGTGATTGGTATGTTTTATGTGGTTGGTATGTGTTTATGTGGTTGGTATGTGGTCACTTGATTGGTATGTTATGTGGTTGTTATGTGTTTGTGGTTGGTATGTGGTTATGTGGTTAGTATACTATGTGGTTGGTGGTATGTTATGTGGTTGGTATGTTATGTGGTTGGTATGTTATGTGGTTGGCATGTTATGTGGTTGGTATGTTATGTGGTTGGCATGTTATGTGGTTGGTATGTTATGTGGTTGGTATGTTATGTGGTTGGTATGTTATGTGGTTGGTATGTAATGTGGTTGGTATGTTATGTAGTTGGTATGTGTTTATATACAGGAGTCTAATAGGGAGTCAGACATACAGCTTCGTCCTAAACACATTAAACGCTTCAAAGAATCTGTTGTGCTGGTACACTCTCAGACCCCCTTCATACCACGTCTCCCGTCAGCCACTCTCAGACCCCCTTCATACCACGTCTCCCGTCCGCCACTCTCAGACCCCCTTCATACCACGTCTCCCGTCCGCCACTCTCAGACCCCCTTCATACCACGTCTCCCGTCCGCCACTCTCAGACCCCCTTCATACCACGTCTCCCGTCCGCATTACACAACCAGCGCGACTAGACCCTGTTTATATCCCTTGTGTTCCCTTAATTATGGTGTTTTTATATGGATTGGATTGTATTTGCTGCAGCACTTGGATTATATTGGGTGAGTGTCCTGGGTAGTCGTTTGTGTTGTGGTGCGGTAATAATGGTATATATGGTCAATAGAAAAGTGTTTTTCACGTAATGCGGGGATAATTTTGGTGTATGGGTGGGTATTTGTTTTCATGCTATTAAATTTTATGAACTATCACCTTTAACACGGTAATAGGTCTTAACCAGCGATATTTCCGTAGTATTTCTTATTTTTTTTTATTTATATGAAAAAATATTGTATACTCTTTTAATGCATTCTTGTAAAGATTAGGATTTGGCAAATGTACAATCACGCCAGCTGGGCTGTATGACGCGTACAGTACACGTCATGAGACTGTTTTTCATGATACTTCGTTGCGTTTTTCAGGGGTGTCATGGCACCCTCCAGTGAGACGAGAAAGATTGGTGACGAAGATTGTGTGTTTCAAGAGAAGTGAACGGACGCAAACTTTTATATCGAGCAGAAAGCCTTACCACTTTTGACTGATTTACTCAGAGGACGTTGGGTAGCGAAAGGAATACACAACCTGAAGAGACATGTCGAGTCTAAGGCACGATACTTATAACAAATTTTTGGGACACGCACAGAGAGATGAAGCGCAGAAATTTAAGAAGTTCCTTAGGCAACAGTTGGTGCTCAAAACATGATAACTGATGTTGACATAATTGTTCGACCGAATTACATGGTATGTCACGAACCTGTAAAGTTTACAAAGTCATCTTCAGACAGAGAGTTCGTAAAGAGTTGTATCACAGACGGTGTGCAATTAATTTGGCCAACTAAGTGTAAAGATGAAGAGAAATTACAGACGTCTTTCAAGCTGCACTGTAGCGAGGTGCACTGACGAAATTGCAAATGACCTTAATACATCATAGGGAAAGTCTGCATCAAAATTCAGTGGGTTTTTTTCAATAACTGTTGACGAAAGCGTCGGTAAAACAGATACATCCCAACTGGTGTTTTTGTTTTATTATCACTTTATTGGT